AAAAATAAATAAAAAATAAAAATAAAATTCATGAGAAAGGGAACTATTAACCCATACTGTAATAAATATACCTAGCTAGAAAGGGATAAGTAGTGGAGAACTTGTCCTGAAACACATGGGGAAGATCTTGCATTTCTCCTGAGTTACACATAATTTATTTTATCTTTCTCAATCAAATTCTAACAAGTGATCGAACTTACACATCCATTGGCCGGTTAACACTTGAAATTACAAATGCCTTCTCGAATTTTACGTGTCGCGGGCCCACCGTCATCATCGCAGTTGTTTTCGGTGTCTCGAGCAACAAGGCACTTGCATGTTCTCTCGAAACGAGAATTTCGTCTCGTCCATTAATTCCCCTGCATTAAATGCTTACTTCGTCCCCTTCACACTACATATACACCTCACCAGGACACGGCTGTTTATCGTGTTATTGTACCAGATTTTGCACCGAATTCTCTGGCTTATGGCTTCACTCGTTTGTATCGTTTTCTATCTTTACTTGCATGCATGCGCTGCAAGGCCACTTACGGTTTCAGATAAAGAAACTGTCGTGCAGAATCGGGCATCCAACAAGGTTAGATACGTGGTTTTAGGACTTGTAATAAGTTTGTGATCAAAAATACATTCTTACTGATCACAAAATCTTTGTCCAGGATGTGAAGGGTTTGGATCATGGTACATACTTCCTGGGGAGATTTTTAGCTGATCAAGAAGGTGACCATCTCCTGGAAAAAAAAAAAAGAAAGATTTCTCATCAACTCTCTATTCTACTGATGATGCTTTTGCTTCTGAAATATACTGGCAACTTTTTGTCGTGCAGGCGAACGAGATAAAGCAAACGCATATACTGGAAACATTAAGGTCCATGCTACAGGAACAGAGGTACACTAATCTTTGTACAAATTCATATAAATCTACTGAAAGCTTGTTTGTTGCATAGATGTAAAGCAGTTTGATATAAGGCTAAGATTACCGTACGCGTGCACGAATAAGTTGTTCCAGTGATTATCACGCATACACAATTTTCTGAGACTAGAAAAATAGGTTATTTTTATTTATACATACTTCAGATTAGTATTTCTATCAAAATGTATTCTATCGGCCTTGCCTTCTGGCATGAATATGGTATAGTCGTCTGGTAATAGTTCGATTTTCTGCCAACTTGTAAGACATCATTTTAGATTAATATAATCAACAGACCTGATAAGATACTGCCATGAGGAATATGAGATATGTATATAGCCCAAGCCATCTAACAAAATGAAGATACTAAAAAAAAAAAAATTAAAATTATGTGCAGGTACATATGAGAGTTGAAGTCGAACGGTCAGCACTGGATTCATCATCACACAAAGCTGAAGAAAATGTGAGCTCGAATCATAATAATAACACGGTGGAGGATGCAGTCGCCATGGATTATGCTCAACCTCATCGCAAACCTCCCATCCATAACAGGGAGACCTAAATATACATATATAAAAACAAACACATATTTGCATGTTCGTCTTTCCTTATATATATTGTAACTTTTCTGCTTTTTTATTTTTCTTATTGTTGTTCAACTCTATCTCGTCTTGGTCGTTACACTGTTAACAGAACCTTCCGGCAACTCCTCAAAAAAAAAAAAAAAAAAAAAAAAAAAAAAAATGCCCGGCACGTTTGAGCCGCTATGTATGTATGTATGTATGTATGTATGTATGTATGTATGTATCTGGGGTCGGTTTAATTCAACGCAATGAGAATGTGATTAAATTGGGGAATAATGTTCCCTTTTGCATGTTGCCTGTTGTCTGCATTAAATGCCTAGAGAAGAAATGTATGAAGAAAAAAAAAAAC